AAGGCAGTTCTGAAGGCGAAAGGGGGTCAAACACCGTATTAGTATGGTGTTCCTAATAATCCTTTAGGTGAGTGTATATTCATTAATGTCAAAGCGAGGCCAATTTCACTTGTATTCGGAATGGTGTTGCTTTAAAAAGATATATGAACAATATGCTCAAAATATGGAAGAATATTTAGTGTGTGTATTTGTGTGTGTGTGTGTGTGTGTGTGTGTGTGTGTGTGTGTGTGTGTGCGTGCGCGCGCTACAGGAAGGTGGTTAGCCTCTGTCTTTACAGCAATGACCCAGAGGAAGCCATTTCCTGTCTAAGGAGCATGGATGCTTCTATGATGCACACGTGCTGTTACCTTTCAGCAAGATACACTGACTGGTGAAAAATGCCTAAATGTATGACAAATAAAAGCTATAAAAATCAAAACCTTAGAGAACACCTTAAAGTGGATTATGCAATTCATAAATTCCCCTTTTCTATATAAAAAGTGAATTGAAAGCATTAAAATATCTCTCACTATTAATGGTGAGGAGTCATGGGCTGATCAGGGGATACAGACCAGCAAAGGTCACCCTGACATTAATGTTGTTTCATAAAACTGACAAGACATTCTGCTTAAGTTATGTTCACTTTAGTTAATATAATTTCTGCTCTCCACTGGAGCTGTATCTAGTTACATAAGGGAGATTTTTTGTGGCATTTAAGCAATTAATAATTAGAAAACAGACATTGGACAAAAGAAGAAAAACATGAGCACAATCTTTGTGAGGCTGTGAGGAAAAGCAAGAGTCACAAAAGAATACAAAAACAAATTGAACGATTAATGACTTACGAAGGAATTACAAGAGACTAGCTCCTTAATGCGCACCATGACCTCCTGCATGAATGTCCCTGGCCAGAAGACCTGGGACACCAGGCCCTTGGTGCAGGCCTCCTGGGCTGTCAGCTTGTGGCCACTCAGCAGCATCTCGCTGGCCTGGGGGGAGGGGTAGGGACACTGTCAGCACGCAGGACCTACGTCTGTCCAATATTATGCCTGTTATCATTAACAACACCTAAGTCACAGTCAGCCCTTTGCAGAGAGAGGGGCACCGTGAAGGTGATTTGTTTTGGTGTAGTGCTACTGCCACCTAGTGGCTCAAGTTGTAATCATTAGGTAGGAAAAGAGATTGAACGAGCAGGGCTGTATTTCATTCTGATCCAACATTCTTGCATTCACCAGGCTATCTCCATGTGAGGCCTATTCATCATCACTGAGAGCACTATCTAACTGTGCGTAAACTGCAGCAATGTCATTTTTGCATTTTTGTATGCAAAATATGACATAACCATTTGAGGGATCTTGCAACCGAAGGGCACTGGTAACCAGTGACATCACAGGATGCAGATCAAAGGAATGGTGTTTGTGATGTAAATAGTTCAATAACTTTCTGGTTACATGTCACTGGTTACCTCACCGAAAATCATTATCTGATCTGAAACTTGGGGAAAAAAACAGTGTGACATGGATCTAACAAAACTAAACTTGCAAATTCATGCTAGAACTATGCCACCTGATACTGTGGAATTTCCCAAACTTTTAAAATACACATTGCATTTTATATTGATATGTCTGTTTATTCAAATATCCACTGCATCAGGGGAAAAAAGTATTCAGAGATTCCACTGAACAGGTTGAGCTCTCAAGCCGGAGCAGAAAGAGGAAAGTGGAGAGCTGGCCAGGAGGAGAGAGATTACAGACATACTCAGAAATGCTGGCAGTGAGAGAGCAGATGAACGCGTGTGTCTGCCAGAAACTATGCATTTTACAAACTTCCAAACGTTAACGTCTATGCTGAAGTGGCCAGACAACAACTAGATGAACCTAAACAACCATTGCATACAACTGTAAAACGGAATGTCCATTTACAAATGTAACATGAGAGACTTTGAGGTTGAGTTTTTGTCTGAATTGAGCTGTGTAATGTTGCAAGACAAGCAGAAGAATCATTAAAGAGGGGAAAGAGAAAGATTGGGAGAGGAGAAACGTATTTATATAAGGGATGGATGAATGGATGGATGGACAGGCATTTTATTAATACTGAAGGAAGTTGCAGGTTTACAGTATCACAATGACCACATTTAGGCAAGTTTATGGATTAAATAATGGGAGGACAATCAGCTGAGGGGCCACTCACGGAGGCCAAGCCCATGATGCGAGGGAAGGTGATGGAGGAGCAGGCATCAGGCGTCTGGCCGAAGGTGCTGTAGGGTGTTTGGAACCAGGCCTTCTCGTTGGCCCAGACAACGTCACACAGTGGCAGGATGGCAGCAGCCAGGCCCACCACCGGCCCATTCACCGCTACCACAATGGGCTTCTTGAACTGGATGAAGGTGTTCACGAAAGTCCTGGGCATGAAGAGGAGACCATGATGAGTGTCAACTGACCGTTGCCACGGTGATCTGCCAGCAAAACACTGCCCATGCTCATTATGGGCATCCATCCTGCTTTTATAACTTTTCCTGCACCACTGCACCATGGAGTAGTACCATCATATAGGAAGACACTCTCCATTTTCCCAGAATGCTCTTAATGTTGCTCTTTCTGTTTATTGACTAGTTGTCTTATTAGGTTCTTTACTGGAAAGATTTTGTGTTGCTCTTGGTCAAATTCTGCTTACACTTGTACCTGGATATTCAGCGGAAGCTCAATCTAGCTGCAGCTATGCCTCGATGACCCCTTCACAGCCGTTGTTTGTAATGTTCTGTATTTGGACAAAAGTGTTCGCTAAGTAAAATATATATAAATGTAAGAATGGTTTCCAAACTGCTGCTGGTTACAAAAAGCAAAAACAGCAGCAGTCAAGATCAACAATACTGTACTCCCTGTTTACACACGACTGTGTGTCCAGACACAGCTCCAACACTATCATCAAGTTTGCTGATGATACCACCGTTGTGGGCCTGATCAGCAACAACGACGAGACGGACTACAGAGAGGAGGTGAGACTCTTGGCAGAGTGGTGTTAGGAGAACAACCTCTCTCTCAACGTCAGCAAAACCAAGGAGATGGTTTTGGATTTTAGGAGGCAGGATGCAGCTCATCCCCCTATCCACATCGGAGGAGGTGCTGTGGAAAGGGTCAGCAGCTTCAGGCTCCTTGGGGTCACCCTCAGTGCCAACCTGAAGTCCTCAGACCATACAGCAGCGGTCACCAAAAAAGCCCACCAACGACTTCACTTTCTCAGACGCCTAAAGAAAGCTGGTGTTTCCACCTCTGTCCATACCAGCTT